TAATAGCTTGTCATATACTGTCTACTTTCTATGTATAACAGTTCTATCTAATAATGTATTAGACAGGACTGTTAGACAGATCGTAAACTAATGAACACTGATTATGTCAGCGCCGTCAAAATAAAAGTCACAACAACAAGCGCGGCTTACGTCACTTCAGAGTTCCTACTGGCGGTGCAAACGCAACCAGGAAAACGTTCCTATGGGAACCATTAGTTCTCAGGGAAACACCCTGGAGGCTAGTTCCTAGAACTACCCGGTGCGAAACCCCCTCATGTCATCAGCGGAAAAATCCCAGTCTACAAATGCGTTGGTTGGCTATTTTCCCGCTCTAACATGACGGCTATACAAATGGTTTTAAATGACAATAGCATTTTTTAGTATTATATTTAGGTGTTCAAGCACGAAGTGCTGAAAACCTATTGTAATTGTAAGGATTTTTATTATTATTATTATTATTATTCTTCTGCCGTAAAACGCATTGTGCAGACCAAACCGTAAGAGCTAGAGACTTGAAACTTTGTCAGATGGTAGTACAAAAATCGAGGAGAGGTTATCAAATTATGAGCCCAATTGGCCCATAGGTGGCGCTATAGCAACCAATTGCGCGTAACTGATCATAACTCCTAGACCGTAAGTCGTAGACTCAAGTGTCTTATATCACTGGAAAGCTGGTCACCGGACGAAAAAAACGTATATCTCCGATTTCATTTCCGTCATGATAGATTTTCCGCCATTTTGAATTTTGTCAAAAAACGACTTTTGCAAACTAGTCCCTGATTTTTCGCCCGATCGGAACCAAACCAGTGCACAAATGTTCTGTGGAGTCTGAATATAAATTATAATCGAAAAAAAGTCGAAATTTCGATTTCCGGTCGCTAGGGGGCGCAAAAAGAACGTTGTGGGAGGAGCCTATTTTACTAAAATGGCTATAACTCCAGAAGTAAATTAGGTAGGTTCACCAAACTTGGTACACGTGTGCATAGCTTCAATCTAAGGTCACAGTAAAAAAATCGCGACGATTAAACACTAGGTGGCGCTATAACATGAATAAAACATATAAAGGACTGACCGTTAGTCCGATTGACTTGAAAATTGGTATGCAGTGTCTTGGTCCAAGGCCCCGTGTATATCTATGAGGACATTGGCGTATCTCAAAAAACATGGCCGCCATTGACCAATGAATTTGAGACGAGGTTAACGGAGGCCAATTGGAACGAAACTCGATGGGCATGTTCGACTCATGGCCTAAGAGGTCTGTAAGAGTTTTGAAAGAAATCGGCCACTAGTTGGCGCTAACGAGTTTTACGGCTCTGTAATCACGTGGTGTTGCACACATCCCCCCAAAATGCATATCATTTGATAGATCTCCTCATGATGAACAACTTTGCCTCTAGAACCATTGCTGTCAATCAAATCGTTCATTAAATATTCACAAATATGTTAAAAACCTACTTTTGCGAACTAGTCCCTGGTTTTTCGCCCGATCAAAACCAGACCAGTCTAGGACAATTCTCTGGACTCTCTAGATCAATAATTATCAAAAAAAAGTTGAACTTTGCCCTTTGGTTCACTGTAACAGGGTCATTTAGAAAAGGGGCGTGTCAAAATACACTCAAAAGCCTATAAATCATAAATGAAAACTCAGAACTTGACAAAAATTGATGAGCATATGTGTCATACCATGGTGAGGAAGCATGCAAAGTTTCATGGAGATCGGACAATAGGTGGCGCTATAACTGTTAAAAAGCTTTAAAACCATATATTTCCTATGGTAAATTGCCTGTATTGGCTGTAAATTGTCTTTTCCATCTATGATCGTATACTTTTCATATCATAATGTTTAAAACCAGTGCAGTACAATTCTCTGGACTCTCTAGATCAATAATGATCAGAAAAGGTATAACTTCTTAATTTGGATGGCTATAATAGGGTCACTTCAATATGTAGCCTTGACCAAATGTCCCCAAAAACCTATATCTCTTCAATGAATGCTCAGATCTTCTTAAAAAAAGGTCAGGACATATCACTCTAAACAAGCTTGACAAATTTTAGACAGATCGGACAAAATTTGCCTCTATAACAGTTAAAAAGGTGAAAATGATATGAATATAGTGGCATATTAAGCCAATAAGTGGTGTTTTACTGCCCCCTGCTGTTTAAAATAGTAATTTTGTCATAATGCTGACTATCATTGTTCTATAATTCATTTTTAGAATTAACATACTATTTTAACATTTACAATCACATTTAGTCAAAATTCATTGTCACATTGACAAATGTGAACCCTGAATGAGACAGTTTAATCTACAATAGAATGTGTGTGTGTGTGTGTAGTCCCATGTTTCTGAATAAATTCTGAATAATCTGATTAATAGCTTGCAAAGACATTAAATGCTTATAGACCATTAAAATATATTTTCATAATGACTGTGTGTGTGTGTGTGTGTGTGTGTGTGTGTGTGTGTGTGTGTGTGTGTGTGTGTGTGTGTGTGTGTGTGTGTGTGTGTGTGTGTGTGTGTGTGTGTGTGTGTGTGTGTGAGCAAATGTCTACATATGAGTGCAAAAGCACCTGTGAAAACACTTTATTAATAAGTAGAATGGCCAGCAGAGGGCAGTAGAAGACCACTTATTGGCTCACTCTCATTTTGACACACTTGATTTTCAACAGTAAATCAAAGCACTAAAGCAAACCAGTTTTTCCATGTTAACTATTATAACACAATAATTTTTTGTCAGAGTTTATCACTTCATTTTTATTGGCACTTCACATCAATGCAGCAATGTGGTAAATCATGGTAAATCACGATAGAAACATGGTAAATCATAGTAAAAAATACTATTACATGGTGTATCATGGCAAATCATGCTAGCAATGTGATGAATCATGGTAAATCATGCTACAATCCTGGTAAATCATTCTAGAATGTGGTATATCATGGTAAATCATCCTATAACATGGGAAATCATGGTAAACTATGTTAAATCATGCTAGATTCATGGTAAATCATACTGGAACATGGTAGATCATGAAAAATCACACTAAATTTGGTATATCATGGTAAATCATGCTAAAACATGGTCTATTCCATCTATGATGTCAATGGTTAAATGCTTGCTACATAAAACTTAATGTCTTTTGATGCTTTTGTGCTTAACGGCCTTTAAGGCCTTAACTGCTTGAACACCGCTAAATGCTGCTTGCAGCTTTTTATTAGGTGTTCAAGCACGAAGTGCTGAAAACCTATTGTAATTGTGCTGATTAGGTGTTCAAGCACGAAGTGCTGAAAACCTATTGTAATTGCTATTTGAAAAAAAAAAAAAAAACTAAAACGCATCGTGCAGCCCAAACCGTAAGGCCTAGAGACTTGAAACCTGGCCAGGTGCTAGGGCCTCAGTTTGGGGAGAACCTATCAGAGTATGACCCCGATTGGCCCATAGGTGGCGCTACAGCAACCAAAAGTACTAAATTGCTCATAACTCCTAGACCGTTTGACTTGGAATCAAGCTTTTTGCACCGCTGTGTTCCTTGGCTCAAGACGGACAAGATGTATATCTCGGATTCTCGATTTGAGCAAAAAAAAAAAATTGTTATGGCCAATTTTGTCCAAAACCTATTTTTGCGAACTAGTCCCTGGTTTTTTCCCTGATCGGAACCAGACCAGTCTAGGACAATTCTATGGACTCTCTAGATCAATAATTATCAAAAAAAATTGAACTTTGCCCTTTGGTTCACTGTAACAGGGTCATTTAGAAAAGGGGGCGTGTCAAAATACACTCAAAAGCCTATAAATCATAAATAAAAACTCAGAACTTCACAAAAATTGATGAGCACATGTGTCCTAACATGGTGAAGAAGCATGCAGAGTTTCGTGGAGATCGGACCATAGTGGTGTGCAAAGTGCTGAAACACACAAAGTTACCTCAGCCTGTTTCAAGTTTATGCTATCTGCCTACCGATTCTGATCTGTTTTCTATGGATTCAAATAAACATCTGCATATGGAGTCTGCCTCAGCATCCGCTTCGTCACAGTAGCCTTGACCGAGTGTGCCCGAAAGCCTATATCTCTTCAATGAATGCTCAGATCTTATTAAAAACAACTCAGAACATGAGACCTATCACTCTAAACAAGCATGACAATTTTCAGACAGATCGGACAAAATTTGCCTCTATTACAGTTAAAAAGGGGGAAATTATATGACCATAATGGCATATTAAGCCAATAAGTGGTATTCTACTGCCCCCTGCTGTTTAAAATAGTCATTTTTTCATAATGCTGACTATTATTGTTCTATAATTCATATTTAGAGTTTATATAATCAATATTTTAACATTTACAATCACATTTAGTCAAAATTCATTGTCACATTGACAAATGTGAACCCTGAATGAGACAGTTTAATCTACAATAGAATGTGTGTGTGTGTAGTTCCATGTTTCTGAAAAAATCCATATGTGACATAACATCATGAACATGCATGCAAAGTTTTATGGAGATCGGACCATAGGTGGCGCTATAACTGCCTGTATTGGCTGTAAATGGTCTTTTCCATCTATTATGTCAGTGTTTAAATGTATGCTACATAAAACTTAATGTCTTTTGATGCTTTTGTGCTTAACGGCCTTAAAGGCCTTAACTGCTTGAACACCGCTAAATGCTGCTTGCAGCTTTAATTATTTTTGTATTTCTTATAGTGATTGTAATTTCAAGGAAGGAACAATTTTGGGACTGCATTTTGGTCACCCTACTTCTAGCATCTCAGTATCTCATATCTGAATAGCATCACACTGTCATTTGGGTCAGATACTGAAACATTTGGTAAATTCCAAATTAGTATACAATGCATGCCGAACACCATTCATATATTGCATAACCTGTAGGTATGAATGAAATAAAACATTGTGCATATACTGTACATATAGGGCAATCCCAACTTTTGTTCAGCTTTACTCCACATATACATAGAATACAAGGAGACATTCTTCTTCAAGTACTCACGTAGGAAGTGTTTCTCCAGTAAGGCAATTTCCAAATGACCCTTCACCTCATTGAGACGTTCTGATTCGCTCCTCAGGTCTTGCATGACAGACAAAGTCCCCAAACCAGCCTAGAAAGAAACGGACAGGGTTATTGACAGACATGGATGTGATACATCCCAGACACAAAAAAAAGCTAGTCTCTCCGAGTGCTGACTTACAGAATACTAGTCCTCTATATGGTGTCTTCTTCTTCCTGTTTTAGTTAGATAAGCCTCAAACTGAAGGCTGGTTTCAATGACAAATGTGGACTGTACAATTCTGACTGATAGTACAACATGAACCTGCTTCTGACTCCATTCCGCCCTACACACACAAACACACACACACACAGGCTGAAGGAACGCTAGATCTGCAGAAAGACGAACCGCAGTGAGTGAGAGAGAGAGAGAGAGAGAGAGAGAGAGAGAGAGAGAGAGGCAGAGAAAGTAGGTGAGTGAGAGATTAGGAGAGAGGGCGGCACTGCAGATACACAGCAGAAAAGCAGAGGTGTCTCTTTAAGAGGCCAATGCGACTGACAGAGCAGGCATGCTATCTTCACTAACACACACACGCGCGCGCGTTTGGAGAGAGAAATTAAGAGAATGAAAGAGACCTCGGGAAATCATTCACATTAGTTTGCACAAAGAAATGTTTAAGCAAAAAGATAGCTAAGAATGGATTTTGTGATGGGCACTTAGTCCGAGGCTACAGGTTTTTCGAGCCAAGCAAATCCCTCTAGAGCTGCGAGAAGAGTCTGACAGCTGACTGGCTGATGGCATCACACAAATGCTATTCGCTAGTGACTATCCTTAAAGGTAGGGTATAGGCAACAAGGTGGCTAGCAATAGCAAGCTAGCTTTGATAAGTTCCTCATGAAACACGATGTCTACTCGAAAAATGAAAAACACATGTGTTGACAGGCAGGTAGGATATTGAAGGACATTTGACGAACATGGTCCTGAGACTTCCACACAAGATACATGTACATGTTTTAATATTTAGACCACTTCTATTATTGATTCCTATCAGGATGTGAAGAGAGTTTCAACCAGTATAACAAAAAGTGGCATTAACAAATTGCCTACCCTACCTTTAACAATGATGTTAAAAAGAGAGAGAAAAAAAATTACACTTTTAACTCTTTCCCCGCCAGCGTTTTTTTTTTTTAAGTTGCCAACCACACCCAATGTTTTTGATCATTTTCCCAAAAATGTCATGGCCCCCAGAATATTTGTTGGTAAGAATATCTAAGCTTGCAATATATATAAAAAAGATAAGACCATCTGCTTTTAATCTGCTTTTTTTAATTCTAGCTTCATGCATTCTTTTTTATCAACACTTGAATGTGAGTAAATTTCATAAAAAAGGCAACATTGAGCAAAAAGCTGAGAAAATCACTTTTTTGTCAAAGACTGCGCCCAGATCTGATTCAGAACGATGATCAAAACATAGATAGAGTAGATCGAGTCCATCAACAACACCCCTAATGCTTCACAGTCCTAACCACTTCCTGGGTCAACATTTCATTCAGTAACATTCAGTTAATAATCGCGTTATTTTACATATGCATATGATATGTTATCACTTGTTTCTGCATCTTCTTCACATGTGTTTTGATCAGGAGATTCAGAAGATGTGTCATAGTGCCGGAAAGCCGAAGATTTACGCCAATGGTGGGTAAGCGTTTTCTCACAAATTACAGAAATTTTCACCAATGGCGGGAATAGAGTTAAAGGCCTCCAAACAACTTAGGGGGCGGCAGTGGCTCAGTGGTTCATGTGGGTTGTCTACAAACCGGAAGGTTGGTGGTTCAATCCTCGGTTCCACCTGACCAAGTGTCGAGGTGTCCATGAGCAAGCTGCATCCAGCTGCTCCCGACGAGCTGGATGGCGCCTTGCATGGCTGCCGTCGCCCGTCGGTGTATGATTGAGTGAGTGAATGGGTGAATGTGAGGCAAAATTGTAAAGCGCTTTGGTGGCCATTGGGTCTGTGAAAGCGCTATATAAATGCAGTCCATTTACCATTTTTAGCAAAACATTCACTATGTAAAATATACAATTTATTCTTAATTTAGTTGCTTACAAAAAAGGTTTTTCATAAAAATATTTGGACCATCTAGGATATGAATCATTCAGAATTTGACAAATTTGGATACCTATATCTAGATCGCACTTAATTAATTCTGATGCTGTCTGTTGTTATACAATAGACACAGTTTTAGTTTCATTATATTTCACAATCATCTCATAAGGACTTCAAAAATGCCTGACAATGTTACCACAAAATGGAAAGAGTTGGGAAATCCATTCTGAATCAAGTGATAACATGCAACAAATTCCAGGGATGGGATTCAGAATTTGGGGAATCAAAAAAAGTCTTAAAAGTAATATGGCAACCAGATTGCGTGTTTAAATGACTTGATACTAATCGAAACATTGACAAATTCTTATTCATGTGCATGTAAAGTCAAACATTATGTGACAACAATGTAGCATACACCAATTTACCACAGGTTCTCTATTCCCATCCCTTCTAGCTAACCTGAATCTTGCACCTCTGTGACACAAATCAAAGTGTCCTGAGACAGAAGGGTGATGTTAGAAGGGTCTTCAGCAGAGGCAGTTTCCAGTAGGAGACTAGCTCTCATAAACGGGTGTATTCAAAGTCAATCAAACCCCTGCTTGTGTGAAAAAGTGATCTCATTACCCCCAGCCTTCAGGGAGTCATTAGTGCATGAATCAAATAGTAAAAAGTGCTGCGACGACACATTCTAAACTACACAGATTACTACACTATCAGACGAGAGTTGTGCTGGCTCCATGTGTGTCTGTGTTTGTATGTGTGTGGCCGTGCTATTTCGATCCGCATGTGAGCGATGACTCACTCCTCACTGCTGTCTAAACGTCACATCACCACTGGTTACAATCTCTGTTAGCAGGCTGTTGCATTCAACACTAAAGCTGCCCGTGATGCAGGAAATTACCAATGCAAACATATGCAAAAACAGTGGTAAGACTGGTCAGCAGGTTACATGCTTCCTGAAAGCCATTGCACGGGTATATCGATATTTAGCTCTTCCGAATGTTTTATTGCCAAAACACAATTATGTTGGAGAGAGCTCAAGGTCTGTGGGAAGTCTGGGAACCATTACACTATCATTTTGAATTATACAACCCTTTTGAAAAGCTTAGCCTTGGACAAGCCAAAGATGCTTTAGGGTATCATAGAAGCATTCCCAACATAGCAGCAGAAAAACTAGAGAGTAGAGTTGTCAAAAGTACCAACTTCGGTACCAAGTCGGTACAGAAATTTAAAAAATGTGACGATACCAGTATTTCCCTCTAGCATTTTGAGCGCTGTTGAACGGATTCCTAAACACCTCTGATTGGTCATTGTGTTCACACGCTCAACATACCTGTACAGTATATGTCTGTGATTGGCTACAATGATCAACACTTCAAAAACATTGACACTCTTCACCGAGCGCTTACACAGATACACACGGGAGCGTTTGAAAGCGACGTCTATAAGCGGTTCCGTCAGTGGATATATTAGGGATCCGCTGATAGACGCCTGCTTTTAAACGCTCCCGTGTGTATCTGTGTAAGCGCTCGACGACAGGGAGAAAGCAAGACCTCACGCTCCCAGGACAGTACTGGCAACATTTGGAGGTTACTGAGGTTTATCCAAAAAGTCACTAAATTTGACGCTAGTCGCTTTTTTGAAAAAAATGTCGCCAAAGGGGGGAGGGGGGGGGGGGGGGGGGGGGGGGGGACCACATATTTTTATAAATAATGTAGAATATTGCATACAAGTTATGGATGGATAAACCAACGCTGCATCTGAAATCAAATACTTCCCATACTTTAATAGTAGGCTATGGGAAAAACAGTGCGCCAAAAAAGTAGTATGCCCGAATACAGATAAAAACAGTAGGCGAAAAGTCCCCGGGAGTGGATATATTAATGGAAGTTAAGTGACGCAGCCGACGCTGGTAGGTCAAGTGATCGTAACAACATGGTGGGTGAGACGTCCTGATTGTTTGTTTCTTACCTCTATGATATTTTGGTGCCCAGATACGGACAAGAGTCTCTCAGTGTAAGCCTATAAGATTTTTTTCACAAGTATGTCAGACGTAAACAATTAGACAATAATAATAATTCACCCTTTTACACTAAAATGCTAAACTGTAATCCGAACACGTTTTATACCAAATCTTTAAAATACACATATTTAAAAATTAATAAATAAGCACTGAATCATGTTAATTCCAACAGTTATATAATATTTTCTGAAGTTTTCACCATCCCTTTTCATCAATATGGATTTTACAGTATGTGAGATATGAGATTCTAAGAATAAAATCAATGCGTGCAAGTCATTCCATGGGCAACCAATAAAAAAACGCCACTGTTGTAAAACTTGCATCATTTATTGCCTTAGAAAAATGTCCTAATGCCAACAAATAGTCGAAACTAAGATGGATCAGGAACAGAATCCAGTCCCGAAGCAGAGTTAAACACTCCCACAGAGTTTTTAAAATCTCATGCGATTTTACAGTTCACATCAAGCGCATGGGTCACTCCCAGAATTAAATGCCACTCCCTTAACCCAGACCTTAAATCAGTTAGCACACTTGGGATTTAAACTCGTGAACATATGTGCTGGTTTGATAGGATTTCAGCTTTAGAAGAATAACAAGATGTGACTCTTGCCTCATAATGTCCGTGGCCGATTACGCCTGATGTCCACGACGGTTCTTCACTGTCAACTGTAAATAAAGCTGATACGCTATTGTTGTTTTTTACCAGCACAGTTTTTTTTTGTTGTGTCTAGTAGCTTGATGCTATTGTTTCACTAAGTACATCAATAGTCAATATTTGTAACAGTAGTAAGATATAAAAGACTCGAAAATCCAATGTTGTTTTCGCTGTGTTGGCTAAAACGTTTTTTTTTTTTAGGTTGTATTTAGTCTTTCCCTCAAGAACTCAAGTCATTTTTATCAGTTTCTACTCAAGGTCTTAGGTCTTATCCTCATAGTACTTATTTCATACTGAAAAACAAAACATAGCTTATGCTGTTGACCAGTAATGCTAGATTTTTCATCAGGGTGCTCATGGCCTAGATCCATAATGAGAGGGCGATGAGAAAACAAAGTGATTATTTCATTCCACACCCTAGTGACATGTCTCAGCGTCTACTTGGTGTCTTATACCTGACTGTTTTTAAAACACTCTTGAGCTTGTTTGAGGAGTCTGATGCTTAACATGTTGCTAAGCTAATGACTCAATACTCTAATATGCACAGAAATACATAATAGTTGTTTGTTTGCATCATTCAACAGAAAAATTCACTGAATCATCACAGAAGTGAACTCTTTTTGCAGGCCAAAGTTAACATTATCCTGGCATTACCCTCAACAAAAAACCAATGGGATTTTTCAATTGTCTTTTGGATTAAAGCAGAAAATGCACTCTGTAACCAACAAAAGTTTATGATTCATACACATTTTGTTCATCAAGATAATAATCACAAACGAACACGATTTTTATGAAGCCTAAATGCAATTGCCTGAAGTAAAAAGCTATTATTAGGCTATAAACAAACTACACCACGGACGCATGCCTTTAATGTCACCACCACTAAACTTCCTATTAACCTTTCAGTCTGTATTTCAATTCTACAAGTTGGAGTTAGAATATTTTGACTGTCATTAAATATTAAGATTGTGCTTATAAACACAGCAAGAATGTAAAAGCAGACTAGTAAGTAGATGTGTTTACATGTTTGGTGTGATGAAGTTCAATGTCCCAGAGAACCATTTGACCACTTAAAAAATATAAAAATATATCCTGAGCTGTGTTATTTCAGTCATTTAACCAAAAACTCATTAACCCACCAAATTTGCAAACATGCTATCTTATTTCCGAGTTTTAGGACTCATTCCTAAGAGTAGATTTCCATTTTTCAGAGACACATTTGTGTGTCCAAAGGTAAATATAAACATCATAGTGACTAGAATATATGAAAGTGATCAGGGCTTGAAATGAACTTTTTTTGCTCACCAGCCACTGTGGCAAGTGGTTTTCCAAAGTTCCAAATCCCACGGCGAAATTCAAGCCCTGTAACACCAACAATAATCATTCAGAGCAGATTAAATGAGTGAGTGAGAGGAGGCGGGTTTGTGTGTCAACTAGCTGTCGGAGAGATGACAGAACGAGAAAGCGCAGCTGGTATCTTGTGTCTATTCGAGAATTCAGCGCAAAATTAGTATTGGAAGCGTTTCAGATATTTCAGTATTGGTATCGAAAATTCTACATAACACTACATTTAAGTTACTATTTCAGGAGCCTTTTTAAAGGACTACAACTGAAAAATTCAACCCGCCAAAGTGGCTTGTAGACTGCGTTACACACCACTGCTGAAATCCACCTGCATTTGAAGGGTTGGCTGGTGTTAATGTCACGCCCTTATAGTGATGCAGAAATAAACATTCTAATTGGGTCCTGAATTGGGTCAAGTCTTTTGATTTGGTCCAATTACTAAACACCTGGCAATATGTCAAAAACCACTCTGAAAACCTTACCAACTACATATCAACAACCTGATGACCACACACAACACCCTAGCAACATAGCTACAAGTTTTGCATGGATCGGCATCGCTTTTCGTGAAAATGTAGTATCTAGTTTTGCTGCTCCCACTTGAGCCAAAAGGCCTTTCTATGTGGAGTGCATGTTCTCCCTTTGTTGGTTTGGGTTTATTCTGGGTGCTTCGGTTTCTCCCACAATCTAAAGACAGGCAGGATAGGTGAGCTGAAGAGATTAAATTGCCAGTATGTGTGCAGCCCTGCGATGGACTGGCCATCTATTCAAGGTGTCCCGAGATGCTAGGATAAGCGCCAGGACTCATGTGACCCTATTTAGGACAAGCTGTAGGAAGAATGGATGGATAGTTTAGCCGTATACTATTTTGAACACTCAAAGAGCCTTGAAACTACTGCCTGGGTGGGCAATTCACTAGTTTTTCCAACAGAGCCATGGATAAGGGGTGAGAATTAGACACCTTCCCACAGAGAAAGATGCTCTACAGCATCCTAGAGAAAAAAAAAACCCACATGACTGTCATCCGACAGCATTTCAGTTTACATTTAAAAAACGCACTCTAATGTTGCAGAAGGAAGCAGAGGAGGTTGGCTCTATTGTGAGACACTTATGCAACACCATGACTAATCTGAGGCTCCATCATTGAGGGGAAAGCCTCAAAATAATCAGAACACCAAATTACACAGCTATGACCATAAAGCATAAACCTCTCAGAAAACATCTCTAACACGATTACGGCAAGGAATTCTTCCATGAACCATCTGTGAAATGAAAAGGTACCAGACTGAAGCAGCAGTGTCTGGTTTTAACAGGATAGTGAAGTGCATTAAAGCATCATTTGGCTCCAGGATGACAGGACCGAGGACTGCATTTCTTGCTTCCTGCATATCAACTCAGTTTAACCAGGCGAATGAGACAACAGAGATATTTACAACATTATGGAAGATAAAGAATAAGTTAATGTGAAAAGGTCAGACTCTAAAAGAGATTCATCACAAGCACAATTTTAATAGAGAAAACTGATTTAAAGGAACTGCATCTACCTTCTCATACACAATGTGTTCGAAATTTGTGCAAGTCCTTTAACACAACATTCTAGCAGCCATCAATCTTCAAATGATTTAAAAAGCTCTACATAGGCAACAACACCACATGCCATATAAAGAGCCCTGTGGACAGACTTAACTCACAATTGATTTCAATTTACCATCAGCATGTCAATATGCTGACATTATCAAACTTTTACCAGGTAAAACAGTGCATTTTTATTGATACTTTTCAATGCTGAATGAATTATGTTAATCATCAGCGCAATGTGCTTAGGGAATGCCTTCTCTCAAAAGGATACAATTGGAAAAATAAGCCTTCACAGTTTTCCTCTGACCTTTTGTGGTATAGAATATTTGGTAACTGACATTTAACCAGTGTTGGCTCAGCAAAGAGCTAAACTGAGGGCCCAAAATGAGAACCCAAGTCCAAGTAATTCGGCCAAACATTACCTTAGAAGGCAGCACAATGTTGCTACCTACCTTTTGTGTTGGAAGCAAACATATGATGGCTAGGTAGGCTCACTAGGTTTTGCAACAGACCTTCTATAATACATGTATTACATAACTAACATACAGAAATTCCCAAATGAGTAGGAATTTTGCACCGGGTAGTTCTAGGAACTTAGTTCTAGGAACTGGCCATCAGGGTGGTTCCCTGAGAATTAATGATTCCCTTAGGAACATTTTCCTGGTTGCGTTCGCACCGCCAGTAGGAACTCTGAAGTGACGTAAGCCGCGCTTTTTGTTGTGACTTTTATTTTGACGGCGTGGCAGAGCTTTATTATGAAAGTGCTGAGAACGCCAGAGCCTGAGCACACAGCCTCCGAGTTAATTAGTTTTCGGTCTGTCTAACAATCCTGTCTAATACGCGATTAGATAGAACTGTTAGAAAGTAGACAGTATATGAAAAGGTATTAGCGTATGCCGTGTGGTTGATGTACAGTGTTGCTAGCTGAACAGAAATACATAATCATGTTTGGATTGGTCCCCTCAAAGTTGCGTTGGATTTTCTCCTCAGCGTAAAGGTTAAGAGGCTCATCTATCACTGTTTTCCATGTTCGTAGAGTTAGTTTCTGGAGTAAATATATAGGCTATAATCTGTGTGTTCACACAACTTTTTTAAAAATGGCGGATGCTGGTGTTTCGCGTGCGTTCGGCCAATCAGCGTACACTAACGTCACTGGTTCCTATAGTGCTGGTTTAGACCCGACTCTAAATTAGGAGCTAAATTAGTTCCTCCAAAAGGAGTTTCTAGAACTAAAATAGTTCCTTCGGTGCAAACACGCCAAAATCCGGGTTCTTCCGCCAATAGTTCTAGGAACTATGAAAAGGTTCCTTCGGTGCGAAAGCCCCTATTCTTAACAAAGTTGCCAAATGAAATGAGAACATCTGTAATTAAAGTACTTACAGGGTCTCTTTGCTCATCATTGTCTCGTATTGAAGGTCGAGGTCTCAGTAGCATGTCATCACTACATTCAGTGTCCGACCCCGTAGGGGACTCGGGTAGATCCAGGAAGTCATCTCGCTTTGGACCGCGGAATCTTATTTTGTCCAGCCGCTTTAGCATGTTCAACACAGCTGCTTTAGGCTTTACCTTAACATTGTGTATGGCAGCCCTGCAGAATCAACAAAGTATGACAAAGTATTAAGGACAAAAGGTACAAACTTAACAGGGAACTTTCAAAGTAAGAACTCACACAGGAGATTAAATAGTTACATTTTAAGCCCAATTCACGGCGCTTAGACAAACACCAACAAACACGTTTGTTGGGTTTTGTCTGGTCGGTGTGTTACCCCTGTCGGAGTCTGTTGGCCTTGGTCAGAGTTTGTTTTCACCTGACTGACCATGTTCAATCAGTGTTTGTTGGTGTCTGTGGGGGCAGTGTGAACATGACAGTTATTTTTCATAAAATACTAAATCCAATTGCCAACTTGTTTGTTGGTGTTTGTCTGTGCAGTGTGAATTGGCCTTAAAACAGAACACAGGTGTTACACTGCCAACCCACTGGAAAGCTCACTTCCACATAATGAAGAAGGAAAGTGGCTTTATCACAGTAAGTCAATAGTACTGACAGGCCAATATATATCATCCAATCCCATTAATTAGCCAATTCGTGGCTCATTTAAGATTACAGGCATTGGCTGATGCTCATGTCAACTTGGTCGACTGACAAAAGTTTAAGTACTGTGTAGTGTTTATTTGATTTCAGAAATTGTGCATATATCTCATGCCTTAAATCAGGACCATCCTCTATCATAAGTTAAAACATTCTGAAGCAACTAAAAAACAAGACAAAAAACAATTAAAAAGCATACGCCATCATAACATAACCATGTATTTATTCAACAGCAATGTTTTATTCACTTGACATTAATGAGCCGATTAAATAATTAACAACCTGAAGCTTTTATAATGAATATGTACACACTAAATGATGCACGCCAATACACTGTTTTGATTTCATTAATAACACAACCCTTGATTAAATGTGAGTCTCCTCTCTGAAATATACATCATAGTTTACCCAGAAGTCACCTCTCTGACACGTGCTTATGTCCTCAGGTCTTTCACAAAAACACGTGAATGAATATTCTCAGTAGTCTCTAAGGGTGACCTTTTAACACGAAAGAGAATCCATCAGCTGTTTTGTTCTGAAGACCAACGGCAAGAGGAAATCTCTAATGATCCCAACCGGTTGGAAATAGATTGCAGGGGCTTTTCCTGCCTTGAGCAAGAATCACTGACCAAAGTTGTTTTGTTTAAAATACAGTGGAGAAAGTGCCATATGTGGATTTCCCACAGAATTTATTTGGCAATGTCACTACCCTTTTTGAAACGGTTTCAAAAAACCCGTCATAATGTAATAGTTTCAACCATTATATAAAGAACAAATGGCTTCACTCCACAACCTTAAAAACCATGGGGGAAAAAACACCTTTTTCTTCTTTTCTCCATTTCACCTCTGCTCAAGCCTGAAAAACGTTTTTTCCATGGAAGCAAGAAAGTCAAACTTGAAAGTGAACTTGAGGGCGAGTCAATTATAACAGCATTTGAACACTTTTTTGTGCTTTTTTTAACACTTTAAAATGACAAGGTAAGAATAAAAAGGTATTATGTAGAGAAAAAAATGTCATAGATTATATCCAGCCATGAGAGACAAACAAAACAATGGGGACAGGAGATTCAATTGTAACCGTCCCTCTCTGGAATTACATTATTGAACAGGGATTGGTTTGAGAGCTCTTGGTGCTTATTGTTATGAAGTCATATTTGGCTGTTATTGTGATTCTGCATGCTGTGAGAGCAGCAGAAGTCTCTGATCAAGTACACAAGGCGGAAGTAAATGTGTCCACCCACAGATCTCTATAGTGGCCGCATCTCTATTCTCTACATGAATATCCACCACAGAGGTTCTCTGAATTACTTCTATCTGAACACCATTGAGAGCACTGGGCAAACACCATGACTTTCAATATCAAAGGATCCATATTTCTGAGACAGAGATTAAATTCAGTTCATTCAAGATCAAATATATGCTGCATAACACACACAAATATATATATATATCTTCTTTATTTGTGTATTAGTCATTCTCAGAGTTCAAAGCCACAGGTGCTTGCCTACATAAACTCTCTCAGTGCAGGAATCATTGCTTGAGAAAACAGCTGAATCTAAAAATGACTAAATCAATCGGTGATTCAATGGATACATGAATCAGTGACTAATAGTTCAAATAATTACTAAATCCATGGATCAGTTAATCAAAAGTTGAATTCATCAATGATTGAAAAGATCAATGATTCAGCTGATTTTAATGATTCAGTTGATTTAAATCAGTGACTCGATAGGTCATTGAATCTATGGATCAATTAATCCAAAGATGAATCAACAAATCAAGTACTCAATGGATCGATTGACTTTAACGATTCAGATTATTTTATTGAATTAACCATTGATTCAATAGTTTGCTGAATTATGGAATCCATGGATCAGTTGGTTAAACGATTATATATCAATGAAAATAAAAAACAGATCAATGAATCGGTTTATTTTCATGAATCAGTTGATTTCCCAATGGATAAATGAATCAGTGGCTCAATCAATGAATGAATCTACGTATCGATGGATCAATGATTTTGTCTGGGCTATGAATAAAATAATTAAATAATAATACAATTCAGTTCTTCCCATTTAATTTGTCTTATCTTATAATTTTTGTGTAGAATGAGTAAATCTGTTTGTTGTTTGGATGACAAAAGTTTTAAAAGTTACATTTTTAAGCTGATTACATTTTTAGGCTGCTTTGCCTCTAACAAAATGATCGAGATGGCCAATCAAATCAAATAAGTTTTTTACGGTCTTATACTGTTGCTGCAATGAGTTAGTGGAAAGATATATAACTGTTTTACGATAGAAATGTTCAGCGACCGACAGTAATAGACTATCTAGTGATGCAAACTACTCAACTTTTTAAGAAATTTCGCCGTTTTCGCCAAAAATAAATGTGATGACACAAGAAACGTTTGTGTTTTTGACAATATTGGACATACGAATAAGAGTGAATGTGTGCAAATTTTTTTAATAAAATATTCTTTTCAAATAGTTTAAGGGATAGTTCACCAAAAAATAATTTACTCACCCTCAAGTTGTTCCAAATATGAGCTTCTTTCTTCTGAAGAAAAACGTTGGTAATCAAACAGTTGGTGGACCCCATTGACTTTCATACATAGTAGGAGAAAAATACTATGGAAGTCAAAGGCTACCATCAACTGTTTGATTACCGACATTCTTCAAAATATCTTCTTTTGTGTCCAGCAGAAAAAAGAAACTCATACAGGTTTGGAACAACTTGAGGGTGAGTAAATGAAGACAGAATTTTTATTTCTGGGTGAACTAAAATTTGACCAGTACAGTACAGTACAGTAAAACTTATTTTACCATTCTTATTTATTAATTCCCTAATTGTTCAATTCCTTTAATATTCGTATTATTATCGTTATTATTACTATGTATTATTATAACCAGCACAAAAATGAAACTCCGCCTATGCGAGTGATCATGCCTAAACGGAACAATGAATAGGTTGATCAGTTGATCAATGGATCAGTAAATGAATGAGTGAATGACTTCACTTCAGCATCACGCCACAATCATTGCAACATCACTGACACATGTAACAACTTTCACTCCATCATCATCAATATCATACGCATATTCTATAGGCCGTCTATGTCGTGTGTGGACACAATCTATCCGTTCTCCACAGAATGATACATTTTGTACCTTGATCGGCGTGTCTGAATGACAGAATAACGGCCGCGTTCCTGGAACGCATTAAATGCCACATTAAACAAAGACATGACACATTAGATTATGACGTATACAAGCTTAGCTATTTAAATCAGCGAGCTCTTAGTGCGACACTGTCCGTGATAGCTTCGTTTTCAAGAACAGAAATTCTGAATAGAAATGGGTTTTCTCTATGAATTATGACAATGGTGAAGAAGACATAACTGTACATCGCCTGTTGCCGTCTTGAATCTGTTTAAAGGTCCGCTTACCTAGCTCGCAAATCGTAGCAAAGTTTCATGAACCCTGCTGATAGTCTGTGATAGATCCTTCAGGAACACCTGCTGTAAATATATCCCCGCTTCCCTTCTGCTGTCTGAAAAAGAGCCGCACGATGTCCCTGGAGCCTGTATTGTGTGCGAGGTAATGTCAGTCCCCCCCCGCCAGAGAACAGGGATCTGCGTGTGTTGTTGATGTCACTGAACTCACACACACAGCAGACTGGCAGATCTCTTAAACGAGTCCACTGATCTCTTAAAGGGGCCGCAGCACTGCCTACTTGTTAATGCAATACAGTCAGATAAACATGCATGATTTTTTGGGTAGCTGACGAATACGTGACGACAATGCATTTAAAAAAAAAAAAATCTTGTTAGAGTTTTACTTACTATTATTATTATTGTTATTATTAATATTACTTAATAATATTGTAACATTTTGTACCTTGATCGGCGTGTCTGAATGACAGAATAACGGCCGCGTTCCTGGAACGCATTAAATGCCACATTAAACAAAGACATGACACATTAGATTATTAACCTCGCTGTTGTGATTGCACACTAGCTTTTTGCTTCGGAGCCAAACGCTTCATGTTTAATCTACAGAGTGTGACTCTACGAGCCTCTTCGTTGGATCTCTCGGGTGCGGGCGTTACAGCACGGCAGCGCGAGCAGTCTTGTCCTCTCTCTTCTGTCTTTGTCTTTTTGTTTTGTGTTTTTTTAGCAAATTCAAAAAGCTGTTTTAACAGCTGGTAAGGTGCGCAGTTCAGTGCTCAAAGGCTGTTCTCACAGCCGGTAAGACCTGCCAGCGAGAGAGAGAGACGGCGCACAGACAGGTGCACATTCCCGTCTGTGTTCGCGGTGACTGTTCCCCTGCGTGCTTCAGCACTAGTGAGAGTAGTCCCTAAAAGAGCAAACACAGATAGAGAGCGTCTTTTTAAAGATGACTTTCTATCAGTGTGTTTCTGGATGCGGTCGTTACCTGGGCTCACAGGATGGTCACAAACGCTGCCTCGTGTGTCTGGGCATTAAACACGCTGAGGCAGCGTTTGTGGATGAGTCATGTACCCATTGTGGGAAGATGACCATCACGGAGCTACGGTCGAGACTCTTGTTCCTGCAAAGGGGCGGAGTCCCCGTGCCTCTGCCTCGATCCAATCCTCCTCAGAGGGTTGCTTCGGGCGGGGGCGCGGGTGACCTGAGGATTACGGTGAGTGCGTCTCCTTCGGGGAACCAACCCCCTAGGAGCCCTCACCCCTCTCATGCTCCACAGCCAGTTGAGCCTCCATTGGAGAGAGCTGCACCATCCTCGAGGTGTGTACCGGTTGTCTCCTTTGGGGCTCCCAGTGAAGACCAGATGTCGATCGCTGCATCGGAGGGTGGGTCAGACCTCTCTGCGGACGACGACTCGGCACCGCTGCCTCCTTCGAGGGTGCCAGCGGTGCCTGAGACGGACCCGGAGATGATGGCCATGCTTTCCCGGGCCGTCAACGGGGTGTCGGGCTCGTGTGGAATCCTCCACCGTGTCCCGAACCCTCGAGGATGGACGATTGGTATCTCGGGGTGGCACGCGCTGGTTCTCAGCAACCCACCCCAGTGCCTTTCTTCCCGAAAGTGCATGAGGAGCTTACAGGGATGTGGACGGCACCTTTTACTGCCAGAAACCGTTCCGGTGGCTCCTCCTCCCTCACCACCCTTGATGGCGGGGCGGCTAAGGGATACATGCGCATCCCGCCAGTGGAACGGGCCGTTGCTATACCTGTTTGCCTCCTCAGAGACCTCCCACTGCCAGCTGTTTTACTCCCTGACCGAGGGAACACTCGGCACGGACGCACTGGCACACAGCTGGCCCCGGGGCCTCCGCAAATATGCATTTCCCCCAGTGAGCCTACTTGCACAGACACTGTGCAAAGTCAGGGAGGACGAGGAGCAGGTCCTTCTGGTGGCTCCCTATTGGCCCACCCAGACTTGGTTCCCAGGACTCATGCTCCTTGTGACAGTCCCTCCCTGGCCCATTCCTCTGAGGTAGGATCTTCTGACTCAGAGACGGGGCACCCTATGGCACCCTTGTCCAGACCTCTGGAAACTCCATGTCTGGTCCCTGGATGGGACGCGGAGGTTCTAGGTGACTTACCCCCTGAGGTACTTAACACCATCACTTCGGCAAGGGCGCCGTCCACGAGACGTGTTTACGCCCTGAAGTGGAACCTGTTTGTCGAGTGGTGTTCTTCTCGCCGAGAAGACCCCCGAAGATGTTCGATAGGGTCTGTGCTTTCCTTCTTGCAGCAAGGGTTGGAGCGAAGGCTGTCTCCCTCCACCCTCAAAGTACATGCTGCCGCTATTTCAGCTTATCACGACCACATAGATGGCAAAACAGTGGGGAAGCACGACCTGGTCGTCAGGTTTCTTAGGGGGGCGAGACGATTAAATCCTCCTCGATCCCCCTCCATACCCACTTGGGACCTTTCCCTCGTGCTTCGAGCACTTCAGGATGTTCCGTTTGAGCCTCTGCAGTCAGTAGACTTAAAGCGTCTTTCCATGAAGACTTTGCTACTGTTTGCACTGGCCTCTGTCAAGAGGGTAGGAGACCTGCACGCATTTTCGGTCGACGAATCGTGCCTAGAGTTCGGGGCGGGTGACAACCATGTGATACTAAGACCCCGGCCTGGCTATGTGCCCAAGGTTCCTACCACTCCCTTCAAAAACCAGGTAGTGAACCTGCAAGCGTTGCCTTTGGAGGAGGCAGACCCAGCCCTGGCTTTGCTCTGTCCTGTTCGCGCTCTGCGTATTTACGTGGACAGAACTCAAAGCGTCAGGACCTCAGACCAGCTCTTTGTCTGTTACGGAGGCCAGCAGAGGGGAAAGGCTGTCTCCAAGCAGAGGATGGCCCACTGGATAGTGGATGCCATCGCCTTGGCTTACCAAGCACAAGGCGTGCCCTGCCCGCTCAGGTTCCATGCACACTCCACGAGAGGTGTTGCATCCTCCTGGGCGCTGGCACGTGGCTCCTCGCTAACAGATATCTGTAGAGCTGCAGGTTGGGCGACACCTAACACGTTCGCTAGATATTATAGCCTACGTGTAGAGCCGGTCTCCTCCCGTGTTCTCACCCTAAACGGGTAGAAGCACCGAGAGGCCCAGCTCTGTCGGCTTGCTGCACCCTTATTGCTCCAGAGTGAAAAACCTGTCGAGTCCTCCAAAACCCCTCGGCCCGGACATGGCGGAGCGTCCGGTGCCAGGCCTTTATCCGCTGAATCCTTGAGAGCCGGATCTGGGCTGGGTTCCATATGTGTGACCCTACGGGGATCCCATATGTGTATATTCTCCACGGCTGCTCCTAAGACGGAAGCCCGTGTCTTTCCCTTGGCCTAAGTCTGCTATTATTCATATGCAGTACAACCTTCGGGTTAGTCCATATGTATTTTCCACATAACTCTTTGAAGAAGTGGCTTCCGCAGCGTTCTCCTTCCTAATTAGAAAGGGCACGCTTTCCCAGTGTTATCCAATAATCTCACTGTATGGGTTATTACGGAACAACAGTGACAGATACACTCTGTGTAAGCCTCCTCCTATCGTCCTTCCAGGCAAGAAGGTGTAGAGGCTTGCACGGGGCGCTGGATGGGGTGCAGCAGCTGTGGTGCTTTGGTAGGGATTCCTATTGGTCAGTCTGACCTACGTTGTAGTGACTGACCGATAGGGAAAGTCTCGGTTACATATGCTAACCCTCGTTCCCTGAGGGAGGGAACGGAGACGTAGGTCCCGTCGCCACATCTGCTGCCGCCCGCCGGCCGGCCGGCCAGCTTTTTCAGGTTTGGCTCCTCAGCAAAAAACTAGTGTGCAATCACAACAGCTGCTCTTTAAATACCCGTGCTGCGGGGCTGCACAGCTGATGCAAATGATTGCACGCCAATGTGCATTGGCTTGTTTTTAGTTTCACTCGAAGTAGATTGGCCTCTCTAGCGAGATTCCTATTGGTCAGTCTGACCTACGTCTCCGTTCCCTCCCTCAGGGAACGAGGGTTACCATATGTAACCGAGACGTTATCCCTCATAACACAATTACATGAATATTATTTAAAAATATATATATTGAAAATTGAGTACACACCTACTGAAGTCAAGTCAATTATATTTCATTATTTTATCAGTAATATATATATATACATTACATATACATTGATAATAAAATAACAGTGAAATATATGTATATATATTATATAATAGTCAACATTTGAAGTGGATCAAAACCTTTCATCAAAGTAATATATATATATATATATAATGTAAGTGCAGTCCATATTAGTTCATGTTTACAGTGTAGTTAACTATTGAAACATGCTAAACTAAAGGGGCAGACTTATTCTGTTTCTAAAAAAAATAACCAGATTTTAGGCCAAAACACCTTTGTTACTACTGTAAAATCACAATAAATTAAATACATAGAAAAAGTGTGAGAGGCTTTTAGACTCTCTGTCATTTTGTTTATTTACTGCATTTTATTGTTGCCTATTTAATGCAACAATAGCTATAGTAACTACTTCTTGAATAATAAAAAATAAAAAACATATATATATATATATAAGTACATAGAAATGTTATATGCCACAAGTTTTACTTACATTTTTCAAACATGACGAGCACGACTCTCAAACTCTTGTCCTGAATCAGACCCATGGAGACCTTTGACTGCTAGACTTAATCCATAATCTCCTTTAAAACAAGAATCACTTATTCTTTACTGATAAGATTACAGTAGCTACACTTTGCAAAGCAAAGGTAAATCACTGATTTTGGTTAGTCATTCATTCCTTGAAGAGTTACAACAAGAAAACGCTCAAGGTCCTGTCAGTGGCTGTACCGCTAGATGGCGCCAGATATTACCGGAGATGTTTAGTGGTGAACGTTTGTCATTTTAAACATATTTTGTTTGATGGGGTAAGTTGTAACAATTAGACAAAAGAAGCATAAACCGTGGCCACACCATGCAATATGCTTCAAAACTAGGGTTATAGCAAAAGAATAATACAAAACAATGTCTCTCTTCCTGTGATTGACCACAGCTCAAATCCACTTTCTGTTTGTGCATTTGTCTGTAAATTAGTCTACTAGAACAAACTTCCTGAGCAGTATTTATGCTTAATGAACACTCGACTGCATAGAGCACCTTTTACCCACACTTCCTTTGGCTTTTTGAGTTTCCAAATGGCTCCTTACAG